AACTACAGTGCGTCTTTGTTTGAGACAAAAAGGCAACACCATATCAGTGTCCTTTTTTCAAATCGCCTCTTGCGCTTGTGGTGCTTGCTGATCAGCACCCGTAACCATGCGAGCCGCTAGTGCTTGAAGATCTACATGCAGCGCAAGCTTCCGCTTGATGTAGCATCTCAGTGACCTGTGCGTACTGCACCTACAATGCCGTGCACCAGGCTTTTCGGCTAGTTTCCTGAAAGTCCTTTGCACGAGTGTTTCTCTCAGGACTTGGTGTTTTCTTTGATTAGCTCCTTTGCCCTGTCCTCTGTGAGCTTCAAAGTGTGTCCGCCGGATTGGTCTCACCTACTGGAGATATCGACATGAGCTGCAGTTTCTTCGTCAGCGATTTGCTGGTGATAGCCCTTCACTAGGCGCTGTACTGTGCAAGCACTGAAAATCAAGCTCGCGAAGCGCTTTTTCAGCTTTTCTATACCTCCCCGGGGTAAACAATCCTTGCCATCAGACAGCTTGAAGTAGACAGAAACTGTATTCTCCATCGCTCTGAAATGCGAACATCCTGACCTAGATTTACGGACTCGAGCGGAGGTTGCAGTGTTTTCTTGGGCTGACGGAAGTGTTTGTCGGCGGCAGCTCCGTCAAAAGACTCAAATGAACCGATCGCAACTTCTGTGATGGTTTGTGCTGCCATGTCGTCGGATGCAATGGTCAAGAGTTATGTTCGGATGGTGAATCGGTGGTTCCATGCCGTGTGGCACAGGCAGAACACCAAAAAACCAAGTGAGAAGATAAGCGCCAATTTTAACTTGGCGGACCAAGTATTTGTTTCATTACCTCCACCAATCTTCCCCGCTGCACTGTGTCGAACGCCTTGCTTATATCCATTTCGAGGACCGTACATTGCCACTTGAATCGTTTAGCCTTGGCCACCAGCCGGCGGCCACACCAGACAATATCCGCAGTACTCCGACCCGGACGGGAAGCGCTCTGGGTTGGAGATAGGTATGAGTCAATCTTTGGCATAATCCTGCGAAGTGTGATTGTTGACAGGCATTTGCGTATATAGTTCAAGAGTATTATTGGCCTGATACTGGTTAGCGGCCCTCTGGGTTTCCCTGGTTTCGGGAGCGGGATTAGTGCTCCACATCCAAGATCCATTCCACTGCCATCCGCAAAACATTGGTTTAGAATGGCAGCGATCTCAGGTGCGACCCTCTCACCAGTATGCTTGAACAGGTCCCCGGGGATGCCATCCGGCCCAGCTGCTCTCTGCTTGATTTGAGTAATCTAATTGCCAGGGAAACCTCTGCAACGCTGATCCTATCTTCAAGATACTTCGAGCCTAGCGGTCTCAGAATATCATTCACCGCAGATGGATCCCGAAACTGCTGCCTGAAGTGGTCAGCTACCTTCTCTGCCGCTTCTTTATCGTTGGCGATTATCCGTCCAAGGGCATCATGAACAACCAATGGCGCGGGAGACTGCCGCCGCAGCAAAGAGGCTGCTTGAAAGACCCTTGCATTGTTTTTCAGCTTCTCTACTTCTTGAGCGAAGGAGTCCAGGCGGGCTTAAGGTTTTACGAGTTGTTCCGGGCGATATCTCGTATCTGGTGTAATATCTGATTCCGATCGCGTTTCAGTGATTTCCTCCTGTCTGGGCATTTTGTCGAGTCGATTTTTACCCGCAGTTCTTTTTGTTGGGCTGATAGAAGGGCTATGCCAGGATCATGGGCTTTTCGGCTACATTCGGCTCTCTTTTTATATCCAACTGTTTTTGTTGCAGCCGACTCCAGTGCATTCCTCACACCTCCGAAACGTGCCTCAGCTAAAACAGTTCCCTGCTGCGTTTGCTGTGTTGGCAGTGCTTTGTCTACCTCCTCCTGGAATTGACTACAGACCTGGGGGTTCTGAGTAAACATCGAGGTGTTGAAGCTACGTCTAGTTGTCTGGTTTTTCTTCCGCCAGATTGGAAATAACGCACGAAGCTGCAGTGTGGCAATGACTTTTCTGTGGTCCGTTGGTGTCTCACAGCCTGCATAGCTACGTGCATTACACAGCAGTGGCTTGTGTTGCGTACGGCAAAGAACAAAATCGATCTGGTTGTAGACAGGTTGTGGGCCAACTTCTCCACTCCCAGGCAACCGGTCCATGTAGTGCGGTGTCTCTGGCGGTGTTGAAAAGCTGTATTGGCCAAGAAGGCATCATTTTCAATTGACCATTCCAACATGTGTTGTCCGTTATCATTTCTGGCGCCTCTGCTGAAGGAGCTTAGCCATTTACTTCCATGAGCTCTCTTACAAATTCCAACTTTGCTGTTGAAGTCTCCAGCGATGAAGCATAGAACTCCGCTTCTCGTTGAATCTTTCCATACAGTCGACAAGGCGCTGTAGAACTCCTCTTTCAGCGATGGGTTCCCTTCATAGGAAACAGCGGTAGGGCCATATGCACTTATAACACGTGCCGTGTTGTGAGTTGGTTTACAATTACTATTATTTTTGTTGCAAAGGAAAACAAATTCCGCAAAACCAATTCTCTCACCAACGCTCCAGTATCTGGACAGGAACGGGTCCAGACGAGGAGCGACGACAATGCCTACTCCTCGCTGATATCCATGGTCTTGAGCCCACGTTATGAGCCGGTACCCCAGCGGTAACACGATACAATTTGCTTCACAATCTTTGTTTCTTGGACTGCACAAACATCAACTCGATACCGCTTCAGTAGTGGAGTAACGTTAGTCGTTTTTGAACTGGGTTTTCTTCAAAAATATTCTTTTCCTAACAGTAATGTTACTGGACCTGGCTCAGTGACGTCACAGGACCTGCAGGAACCATACCTCCCTAAGCCTTAGGTTATTCCTGTGCGTGTTCTTCTGCAGAAGATCTCATTCCGCTTTGTGCTGGGCACTCTGCAACAATTGATTCTGACTTTATTAATTGGCTTTGGGGTTCTTTCATTTACTGCACACCTGGTAAGTATGGTTGTATAGTCTTCGTGATGTCAATAACCATTTCCCAACCCAGCCTGAAATGCTTGTGTTAACACTCGCTCGCTTGCTTAGCTTAGAGCAAATCAGTAGTTATAAAAAAACTCTAAATTCGTTCACAAACAACGGAATTTGATGATCTCGGGAAAGCTTGAAGTTTTCGCTGTCCAAAGGAAACGAATACAGGTGGCATTGGGCCTCTACGCACCTGTGATCTGTGTTTGTGTGTGTGTGTGTGTGCTTGTGTGTGTGTGTGTGTGTGTGTGTGTTTGTGTGTGTGTGTGTGTGTGTGTGTGTCAGTTGTAGTTGTAGGAGTCAGTTGTGCTTTTTGGAGCTCTGACAAGGAGGATGTAGCTGCCTTCAGCAGCCATGCGCCGTGTGGTGTAGACCAGGCCATAGCTGTGGCAGCCCGTCTCATTGAATTTGCGCTTCACTGGGAGTTTTTTTTGACACGCAATAACACAAGCAGGAGACGCAGTATAGTTCGAACGAAATTTGAATTTTCAAAATTGAAGATGAAGGCGAAGAGAAAGTTGGGATGACAGAGGCTTCTTGTCCTAGTCACTAGTTGAGAGCACAGGAGATGCTCGGATTTGCCGTAAGGTGCCATCTGCTGCTAAGCGAGTCGATCGCGGCTGGGATTTCTTGTCGGAGGAATTACGAACATTTAGAATTGGCGTAGCTGGCATACAAGAAACCAAGTGGTTTGGAAGTGATGTCTGGCCTGTCGGCGCTTGCACTTTTGTCCATTCCGGTAGGCCCTCGCCGGCCGACAGTGAAACAGCTCGGCGTAACGAGGGCGTTGGGATTTGGATGGGGCCTGACATGACATCGGCCTGGAGCAGAGGCAGCGAACAGTGGAACGGGATCAGTTCACATATCGTCACAGCTCGCTTTCTAGTTGGCATGAAGGGACACGAGCTCCAGCGTGGTGGCCAAAGATATTCTGACCAGTATCTGACAATTGTAAATGTGTACGCACCACCCAGCAAGGCGACTCGAGCAGTGAAGGATAAATTCTTTCGAGACTTGCAAGAGGCCCTTCATCATGTGAACAAAAATGATGTAATGGTCCTTCTAGGATATTTCAACGCTCGAGTCGGTTCATTGTCACTTGCAGATCCTTCTGATGAGCGCCCACTGTGGGACCAGGTACTAGGACAGTTTGCACTCAGTCAATGCAACCAGGCTGGGGAAGATCTGCTGCCTTTTTGTGCCAGGAACTCTCTCAATGCAACCAGGCTGGGGAAGATCTGCTGCCTTTTTGCGCCAGGAACTCTCTCAATGCAACCAGGCTGGGGAAGATCTGCTGCCTTTTTGCGCCAGGAACTCTCTCAATGCAACCAGGCTGGGGAAGATCTGCTGCTTTTTTTGTGCCAGGAACTCTCTCTCTCTCTCTCTCTCTCTCTCTCTCTCTCTCTCTCTGCGTAATGAACACCTGTTTTCGCAAGAGACCTTTTCGGCGCGGCACTTGGACACACCCTGCGACCCGACAACAGCATCTGATTGACTATATCATACTACGACAAGACCAACGTATATTCTGTCAGGATGTTACTGTGATGCGCGGTGCATTGCTCTGGATGGATCATTGTATGGTGCGGAATAAGTTGGCACTGGATTTCTTCCGCCCATGCTAGTCACAGTCAGCTCCACGTCGACTGGCGGTGCACAACCTGCATGATAGTGACTTCCGGAAGGAATTTCAGACCAAGCTGGATGATGCGCTTGGAAATGGTCCTGGTCTGCAGCAAGAGCCACCTGGGGATGACACCATTGACTCGTCTTGGTCTCGCGTTCGTGACCCGCTTATATCGGTTTTTTCATCAGTCCTCAGATAGAAGCGCCGTGCCCAGCCGCATTGGTTCCTTGAGAGTCGTGATGAGCTGGAACCGCTCATTCAGGAGAAGAACAAACACCACCAGATCTTGCTAGCCAATGACACCCGCCAAAACCGTCAGGTCTTCAGGAGACACCAGCGACTTGTTGCAAAGCCAGTGCGGGATGCAAAGGACAGATGGGTCATGAAGACCGCACGTCGTGCAGAAGAGACCAAGAAAGATGGTCGTACTCGGTGGCGCTGCATAAACATGTTGCAGGGTGTTCATGTCGGGAGGAAATCAACTGCTACATCATCTGTTCTCGATGAGAATGGGAATGCTACGCCAGATATTGAATCTACCCAGGCCAGATTCGGTCGGCATTTCGAGCGTGTTCTGAATGTTCCCTTGGAGTTTAATGCTGATGTGGTGAATTCCATGCCGGAGCTGGAGGTGCGAGAGGATCTAGATACTGTACCAGCATTTGAGGAACTCCAACATGCCTTAGGTAACATGAAGCGAGGTACTGCAGCTGGTCAATCTGCAATTCTGGCATCCTCCCGGAACTTGTGCTTTGTGAAGGTGAAGTTCTTCAGTGTCGCATTCATGAGCTGATGGTGCAGGTATGGTCGTCTGGAGGCGTCCCCGGTGATTGGCGAGATTCGCAAATTGTCCCCATCCCCAAGAAAGGTAATCTTCGCGTGTGTGACAACTGGCGTGGCATCAGTCTGCTGGACGTCGTAGGCAAGCTGTTCGCGCGGATCATCCAGGATCGTCTTGAGGAGATCGCCGAGGACATTCTGCCGGACACGCAATGTGGTTTCCGCAAGGGACGTGGCTGCGTAGATATGGTATTTGTTGCCCAGCAGCTTGTGAAGAAAGCCATCGAACATCAGTCGAACTTGTACGTCCTAGACTTGCGAAAGGCTTATGACTCTATCCCCCGTTCTGGATTGTGGGTGGTCCTGGAGAAATGCGGTTTTCCTCCAAAAATGTTGTGATTGATCCAGTCTCTGCATAATGCCCATCTTCGTGTCGGCAATGGCAGGTCGTCGGAATTTGAGGTCCGCAATGGTTTGCGTCAAGGATGCACACTTGCTCCTATTATGTTGAACATATATTTCGCAGCTGTTGTGGCCCACTGGCGGTCGATCTCCGCTGTTCCTGGCTTTCCACTGTGCTATCGTTTGGGTCGCAAGCTTGTCGGCGATCGCACAACCAAGGGTTGCCTTGAGCACCTTGATGGCACTGAGTCACAGTTCGCCGACGATGCCGCACTGTACATCACCTCACATGATAATCTGTGCACTATGGCCAATGAGTTCATCTCATGCACGTTTGACTCGGGCCTGACGGTCAGTATCACCAAGACCAAGGCAATGTCGGCTGGACCAGGTCGAGTGTGTGCAGATCTCCCTGTCCTCTGTGGTGATAACGTCATCAGTTGCCAGGATGAATTCACCTACCTTGGAAGCAACATAAGAGGGGATGGTCAGCTGGATCATGAAATCGCATCCCGTTTGGCAAAGGCATTGCGTGCGTTTGGCAGACAGCGGACCCCATCTTCCGCAACACGTCACTGTCTCTTGGGACACGGCGCTATGTGTACCAAGCTTGCGTCTTGATGGTCCTGTTTTATGCATTAGAGACCTGGACGTTGAAGACCCCGCAGCTGCATCGCCTCGAGGTATTCCATGACCATTGCATCCGAGTGATTCTGGGTGTGTCACGGGACCAGCAGTGGCAGGAGCGCATTTCTTCTGAGGAACTAGCCCGTCGTTTTGGTATGCCGTCGTCAATGGCGGAGATCGTACGCTGTCACCGTTTACGCTGGCTTGGCAACCTTGGGCAAATGGAGGATTCCCGTCTCCCCAAGCGCGTTCTGTTTGCCGAGGGACTCAACACAAGGTCCAGGCATGGCCCCAAGAAACGTTGGAGGGATTTCGCCGCTGCTGATCTGAGTGCTCGGTGCATGACAGGTGACTGGTGGGACTTGGCACAGGACAGACGAGACTGGCGCCTCATGTGCAATCGTCCCCGGCCGGCTGAGCCAAAGCCTAGAGTTTTCATTTGCGGCTGTGGCAAGGACTTCCGTCGGCCCAACGATCTAACTCGCCACAGGAAATACTGCAAATCCTGATGCTATCATTGCACGGAGCAATGGGCATCCAAAGGTCCAAAGGTGTGTGTGTGTGTGTGTGTGTGTGTGTGTGTGTGTGTGTGTGTGTGTGTGTGTGTGTGTGTGCGTGTGTGTGTGTCCCATACGGTGCAGTGGTATGTGCAGTCGATTTCCAATCGAGAGGTTGCGGGTTCAATTCCCGACGATTATGGTCGTACACGTCTTTCTTCTCTTTCTCGGACTCTTCCTGACTTCTCTTTCATTCTCCTGGGTGGTTACCAACAGCCAGTGTATGCCGGAGTATGTGGTGTGGTGTGTGTGAAGAAAAAAAATGGAAAAATGAAAAATAGGGATTCACTGGCCAGAAAAAGTCACTTCAAACAGCTGCGTGGTGGATACCAGGCTAAAAAATAGTGGCGGTCAATTCATCAGCCTTGCAAGCTGTTGAATAGTGTAATTCCAGCACAAGTTGCTATGTCTAAAATAGCTGTTCGCTATCATCGCTTCCGCGATGTGCATGTCTGAGGTCTGAGGTCTGAGGTGTGTGGTGCCACACTTGCACTCAGCCGGTTCATGGACGTCGCAACTCGCTTCGGCCTCACCATCAACCTATCAAAAACCAAAGTAATGGCGGTCGGCTTCGGCATTTCTCCAGAGGATGGTCGTCCATTGGTGGTTGGCGGGGAAATTGTCGAGAATGTGCATGACTTTCGCTACCTAGGCTCCATCATCCATACTGGTGGCCGCACCGCAGTGGACACTCGGTCCCGAATAGCGTCAGTATCTAGGGCATTCGGAGCGTTGCGTCGATCTGTCTTTGATGATGGCGATCTTTCACTGGCAACGAAGCGAATGGTGTGATGCATGTGTGGCTTCTCTTCTCCTTTACGGAGCGGAGTGCTGGGTGCCACTGAAAAGCGAGCTTGAGGCGCTGTCCGCCTTCCATCTTCGCTGCATTTCCGCAATCTTAGCCCTCGGAAGAAGAGACACCTGGGTCTTCTACATCAACAGGAAGACCATTCTGGAGGCCTGGAATCGTCGAGATCCGGTGGATATTACCACATGTGTTCTTCGCCACCATCTGGAATGGCTAGGCCATCTAGCTAGGATGGACGGCGATAGAGCTCCGCACCAGCTCCTGTTTGGTACGCTCCTTCCGCCGAGGCCGGCTTGCGGTCCTCGGAAACGGTGGTGAGACTCTGTCAGAGCTGACCTCTCCACTGTGAACATCGACCACACGGAATGGTACGACCTCGCCCAGGAGCGTGGGAAATGGCGCATTGCGTATTCCGCTCAACCAGTACCGCGATCGGCTCAGCGTGACACTGCTGTGCTCTGCGATGTCTGCCAGCGTACTTTCGCCCACCAGAAATACAAGAATCGCCACAAGTGCCTGGCCGGTGGGGGCAGCCCATATCTGAGCAGTCCGGCAGCCGACTATGTAATGCGTGCGGGAGATGGTTTTTGAGTGCTGGCGGGCTAGCTTCGCATAAGTGTCTCTCCAACTCGGCTGCTGAAGTGGCGTCGGTCTCGGCTGTGGCATCGGCAGACTCGGTCCGGAACAGCGGGTTGCCCTGCCCTGCTGCAGAGCGCATTGTCTCGGCTGCGGTCACTGCTGCAAGTCATCCCGTGGTGTTAGATATTGCATGCGTCTTCACTCTGTACATTGACTCTTGATTTGACAGCTGCATGCATCTCTTGTATTTATGGCTACCGTGTGTTACCGTCGGACAACATTACGATTTATTGTTACATGTACGTTCTATGTCAAGTCAACTCTGTTCCCATTCGTTTTCTAGTTCTATACTTACTGCCATGACTTGTCCCGTTTATGGTTATACAGTCTTCTTCTTTTCCTGTCTTATTGCTTTCGTTTACCGGAGACTTCTACGGTATGTCTATATTCGCCTCCACGATGTCCTTATCCTGACACTAGCATTTTCTGCGTCGCGTACGGCTGGTGGGAATATCTACCCCAGCCGTCGTGATGTAGGCGCTTCCTCATCATTACTACTTGGAGGACAGTCACGAGTTTGAGTATCTCTGATACTAATGATAATGATTCTTACTGAAGTATGAGGAGAATTGTTTCCGAGTGGAAAGACACTGAGTGTCTATGTGTAATAACTAAATTAATGAGCTCAACGAAGAGCCAAAACGTCCTTTAGGATTCTACTACTACTACAGTCCATTCAGAAAAAAATGAACTTCTAGCTTTTGGCCATAAATGGGTCAAACGTTGAGTTTTTTTAGAATTTTTTTCTGCAATCCCATATGGAATCCTCTTCCAATTATGTTTCTGAAGTTTTTTTGTCCAAAAAGCAAGCCATAGCAAGAATAGGATTTCGGCCCGGTTTTGCCCCAAAAGCACTGAATTGGGAAAAACCATCAAAATCCAGGCCGTTTGACCCCGCCTGCAACAGTGCATTCTGCGGTTCGAACCCCAGTTCAGGCACCCTTTTTGGACCCTTTTTCAAATTTCAAAGTAATTAGTTCGCAGCACTGCACTGTGTACGATGAAATCACGAAAAATCGCCAAATACGGGAGCTCGCCAGAGCCAGGACCCATTTTTTTATGAATGGACTGTAGTACGGGCAGAACCAGAGTAGGATCTCTAAAATTGGTCCTTCGAGCCGGATTCAATGGATGCGAGGTCGAGAAAGGCTGACCAGAGTGTTGCCTTCGCCAGAGCAAGAATCGCGGTTCTGAACGAAATCGAAAATGGATCACCTGTAAGTGCTGTCAAACTGTCACTCGTGGAGCTGGACCTAAAAGTATATTGCTTGCTTAGTACATTGCGGGAGGATCGTATGTAGCAACACAAGAAATGTATGCAAACACAGTGGCTATGGTTAGTGAGTACATGTACAGAATTTGTTCAAACTACAACAGTTCACCGGTGCGAGCTCTATAAGCGGTGTACAGTACACCCGGAATGCCGATAAGGTGAAAGCGTACCTAGCGAGTCTAGATAAGGACACGGATCACGCGAGAGGAGCTGCAGGCCTTGTCCTGAGCGGCCATATGCAGCAAACAGACAGCACGAGTCGTGCACAGGCAGACGCACAGGTTCCCGAAACGGGCGAGAGTGCGCCGTTATGCGAACCCGCTGGTGATCAGACGGCTTTACAAGGCTATGGTCATCATCAAAAGGCAGATACGAAGGATCGGCAAGAGTATCCAAACGACGTAGAAGGTGCAACTGCAAATAGTGATACAACGTGGGCGAACGCTTTTGTTATGTCTGGCCCTAAGGGCCCACACACAGCATTACTCAGGTTCGTACAGTTATTGTAATAATCAAGGAACAGAAAGACAAGGAAAAGAGAGCTCACATTCTCGGACCTAGTCCAGCACAGCAAGCATGCAAAACCAGCCACGAGCCCAGGCGCGCATGCGCGCCTTATCACATCACGTACACAGCAATCGCCCCCCAAGAATTTTTCCCGGGGTAAAATTATAACATAAGCAAAGAGGCACTCAAATTTGGCGCCGACAGATATAGCTGTTGACACTACAACGGCCAGATAATACAAAAGCAAAAAGTTCAAAAAACATTGCACACATAGTCACATATACTTATAACAGTTACTGCAGCTTCCAGAATAGTCCATGAGAGCTGAGCTATAGATCGAGGTAGGAATGACAGATAAAGTCAGCCAATATTGCATAGCGTTGGGGAATTAGATCAGATCGGAAGAGGAACCATGCAAATGTTTCAATGAATTAAACGCAAACAATCTTATGTGAAGACTGTTCGTCATGACCTACATGTAGAATATTCATCTGGCCCAGAAATGTCCACTTCCTACACTCAGGCCGCATCAGATCAAAGTAACAGGAAAAGCAATACATACTCAAAGGCAATAGTACGGATACTTAGCAGTTCTCAATCAAGCGCTTGGGCGCGGAGACATGTCGGTCGGAGCGACGCAAGGGTGCCGGTGCAACAACACTGGGAGCCGTCTCGACTCCAACGGCGTCTGCTGCTGGGGCTAGCGTATCATCCGGCCTGGCAGTGCTACTGTTGCTGCTAGCGTCCGGAAATGGTAGAGGAGAATCCAGCACTGTCGGTGGGTCACTGGTCGGTGTAGGCAGCTGTGCGACCGCCTGGTCCGCAGAGGAAGAAACGGGTACTTGGCCAAACTGCACCGCCCGCGGTCGTAGTTGGTCCCTATGGCGCTTCCAGACGACATCATCCACCTGTACTCCGAAACTGTGAGGGCTGTGGACATGCACTACAGTAGCTGGTACCCAAGTTGCTCCACGACCAAAGTTCAGGGCGAACACAGCGTCACCGGTGTTAAACTTTGGCGTAGTCAAGCTCTCCTGGTACACCTTGACCTGCCGATGACTCTTAGACTGCCGCAATGCACTGAGCCGGATTCTCGGTTGCCGGCCCATTAACAGCTCCGCCGGCGTCTTCCCACTGGTGGTCGGCGTTGTTCGATGCGCTAAGAGAAACCGGTCGAGCCTGACGTTGAGTGGTTCACCAGTATTCGACATTTCTTTCATCTTCTGCTTGAAGACGCCAACGTAGCGTTCGGCGAGGCCATTAGTTGCTGGATGACCTGGCGCCGTTGTTGTGTGTAGAATGCCATTGCCATCCAGGAACGCCTGGAATTCCGCACTCGTGAAATGACTGCCGTTATCTGTAACCAAGTGCTCAGGCAAACCAAACACAGAAAACAGATGGCGTAAAGCAGAAATCATGGTCGCACTGGTTGCATGAGCCATGGGTATTACATCCAAGTACTTAGAGTAAGCATCTACCACCACCAAGAACATTTTTCCCAGAAATGGCCCGGCAAAATCAATGTGTATCCGTTTCCATGGACCCGTCGGCCATGACCAAACACCGGGTTTTGCCGGTGGGCATTTGGCATTCTCTTGGCATTGCAAACACGCATTGACTTTAGATTCTATATCCTGGTCAATATTGGGCCACCACAAGTAGCGCCGGGCCACTTGCTTCATTTTCACCATGCCAAAATGCTCTGCATGCAGATCTCGTAGCAAGAGCATTCGAAGTGAGTTAGGAATCACCACCCGGTTGTCCCATAACAAGATATCATTCTCCACAGACAATTCCATTCTCTTGCTAGCATGTGCCTTGAGGTCTTCCTCAATTTCAGCAGGCCACCCATTAACCGCATAGCGAATTACTTTAGCCAATACAGAATCCTTTGCCGATTCTGCTCTCACCACAGCCGCTTTGATTATTGAGTCGTTCTCGATAAGCAAGACCTGTACCGTGACGGTCTCCTCCTCGCTCGGTGACACAAATTGCATTGGTTGTCGCGAGAGAAAATCGGCATGGACGTTTTCTTTCCCCGCGAGATACTGCATTTCGTAATCATACGCTGCCAGTTGCAATGCCCATTTCTTGATTCGATTAGAGGCGAGAGTGGGGACATCCTCGTGATTTCCCAGTAACTTCAAGAGTGGCCGATGATCAGTGACCACTATGAACTCTCTACCGAGTAGGTACTGGCGAAATTTGGTCACTCCGAACACCACAGCCAATGCTTCTCTTTCAATTTGAGCATAGCGTGACTCTGCTGGGATCAGCTTACGCGACATGAATGCGATCGGTCGTAATTCGCCATTCTCCTGCTTCTGCAGTAGGACTGCGCCAAGGCCCACTCCCGAAGCATCCACTTGCAACACTGTTGGCCTTTGTAAATCATAGTGTGCCAGTAGGGCTTCTGAACACATAGCATCTTTCAATTTGCCAAAAGCTTGCTCGTGAGTGGTCTCCCAGTGCCATTTCCCACCCTTTTTCAAGAGGTCGTACAAAGGAGCTGCAATTTCTGCGAAATGAGGCACAAACTTCCGCACGAAATTTGCAGAACCGATGAAAGATTGCAATTCGGCAACATTCTGTGGTGGTTTGGCCATTTTCAGTGCCTGTATCCTGGCTGTTGAAGGGGAGACGCCCTGCCCACTGATCGTGTGACCTAAGTAAGAGAGTGCCTCAGCCATGTAACAGAATTTCTCCGGATTCAATTTGAAACCTTTCTCATCCAGTCGATGGAGTACCCGGTCCACGTTTTCCTCATGGATTTCATCATTTTCCCCGGTACACAGCACATCATCAATGTACCCGCCGCTGCCTGGTAGCGCAACCAAGGTTTCTTCCATTACCCTTTGGAAAATGGATACGGCACTGTGGAAACCAAACGGTAAGCGTTTGTACTGGTACAGGCCCTGAATTGTGTTGATGGTGGTGTATTTCCTGCTTTCCGGTGCTACCTCTAGCTGGTGGTATGCTTGGGACAAGTCGAGTTTGGTAAACTTCCCTCCCGGGCCCAACTTGTGCAACAATTCCTCGAGGGTGGGAAGTGGGTACTGTTCACATTCTGAATGCTTGTTAATAGTCCCACTGTAATCTGCGCAAATCCGTAATCCTCCTCCTGGTTTCTCTACTTGTACCGTTGGTGAGGCCCATTCGGAATGCGTCACTTTCTCAATCACCCCATCAGCCTCGAGTTTGTTTAACGCGTCGATGTACCGCTGTCGAATTGCTAGAGGTACTGGTCTTGCTCGTTTGTAGACCGGTTGTTCATCTGACACGTGCAGCTTTACTTGCACCCCTTGCACCGTACCCACAGTGGAGTTGTCAAACAGATTCGGGTATTTCTTAACGAAATCGGTAGTGGATTGCCCGCCAGTGCCCACTTTGAATATAGATTTCCATGGCAAAGTAAATCTGGACAAGACACCCCGGCCTAAGAGAGAAGGACCATCACATTCAGTAACTCTGACCAGAACATTCTCCTCTACACCACCCAAAGCCATTTTCATTTCGATTTCACCCAGACATTTGATTGGATTTCCTGTGTATGTAGATAGGGTGATGCTGGATGGTACCAGCTCAGACACGGAGCCATTGCATTTCAGAAAATCATTTTTTCCTAGCAGTGTGACGGTGCTACCCGTATCAATTTCCAAGTGCACCTGGACCCCATTTAGCTCGACAGGCGTAGTGTACGGTGCTACAGCTCTGTCACTCATGGTGGCATTCACATTCAACATCGGTACAGAATCATTACAAGGAACAAGCTCACCGGGGTTTGATGTTGTCCCGACATGCTTGACGGACCTGGCCGCTTTCTTCTTTAGGCAGGCTCGTTCGATGTGTCCCAGTTTGCCGCAAGCACGACACTTCGCAGATTTGAAGTGGCACTCATCCGGTCGATGTCCCAGCTTGTCACAGCGGAAACAGGGCTTGTCAGATTTGAACGTGGCGTTGTCGGCGAGCCCCGGCTCTCCGCGTACTGCATGAACCTGCGTTGAAAACTTCTCAGACTCGCGGAAAGCTGTCTCATGAGCCGTGGCCATGTCGACAACCTGCTGAAATGTTGTCGTCTCCTCAGCCTTCGCCAGGATTTCCTTCGTCGTGCTGGTAGAACCGATCGCAGTGATGAACTGGTCACGCAAGGCCCTGTCGAGATAAGCTTCAAACTTGCAGTCCATGGCTGCCCGTTTCAATCGAGCCGCAAACATGATCGCAGGCTCGCCCTCCTTCTGCAGGGTTTTCTGAAATTGATAGGTAGCAGCAACTACACTGATCTTGGGCTTGAAATAATCACAGAGGAGCTTCAGCAACTCTTCGAACTTCTTCTGCCCTGGTTTATCTGGGAGGCACAAATTCTTCAGTGTGGAATAAACCTGACCGGATAGTTGACTAATCAGCACGGCGCACTTTTTCTTGTCTGCCGCTGTCTGTACTGTCTCGGTTGCATCGTCTGCAACTTGGCCAATGTCATTAGCCAGAAAATGAAAATTGAGTCTCTCTGCATACTCGTCAAAATCCCCAGTTTCGAAAATTTCTAATCTGGAGTTGCGTCATCCCATCTTCGTCGCCAATAGTTATGTCTGGCCCTAAGGGCCCACACACAGCATTACTCAGGTTCGTACAGTTATTGTAATAATCAAGGAACAGAAAGACAAGGAAAAGAGAGCTCACATTCTCGGACCTAGTCCAGCACAGCAAGCATGCAAAACCAGCCGCGAGCCCAGGCGCGCATGCGCGCCTTATCACATCACGTACACAGCAGCTTTCGTGCCAGACATTGCTACGCCAGTAATTGTTCCAGAAAGCACCGAGTATATGATTGAGAATGCACAGCAGTTCAACACTGGGACAGCACCATTGGCCCACACCTACAACTCCATGGACACATTGTGGCAACCTGGCAAACAGACCCCAGAGACTGCATCGCAACCTGTGTCTAGGATGCAATCACAGAGCACACGCATGCAGTACACACACACACAGCCTTTGTATGTGTCGCAGTCTTTGTCGCAGCCCTTGCCTTCATGTAGGTCACAACCGTTGTCTGCGTATCAGTACTTGTCGCTGCCTGTGTCGCAGCAGTCGCTACCCGTGTCGCTGCAGTCGTTGCCGCCGTTGTATGCAGATCAGTCTTTGCCGTTGCCTGTGTCGCAGCAGTCGCTGCCCGTGTTGCAGCAGTCGCTGCCTGTATCGCAGCAGTCGCTGCCCGTGTCGCAGCAGTCGTTGCCGCCATTGTCGGCAGATCAGTCTTTGCCTGTGTCGCAGCACTCGTTGCTGCCGTTGTACGCGTCCCAGTCGGTCTATGCGCCGAAGTCGTCGCAGCCTTGGTCTACGTTGCAGCCGTCGTCTATGCCGCAGCCGTTATCATGCATGCTACCGCCGCAGCGGTTTTCCACGCCGCTACCGAGGCCCAGGCCACAGCCGTTGTCTGGGCTACAACAACAGCAGCAGCAGCGGCAACAACTACAGCAACAGCAACAGCAGCAACAGCAGCAGCGGCAACAACCACAACAACAGCAGCAGCAGCAGCAGCGGCAACAACAGCAGCAGCAGCGTCAACAGCAACAATACCAGCAGCAGCAACCCGTGCAGACCAGTTGGTCTGGAATGACAGCCAGCTCAACATCGTCAACAGCAGCACCAACAGACGTGTACCGACACCTGAAGAAAGTGAAGATACCTACGTTTAGTGGTGATAAAACAGCATACAGAACATGGAAAGCAGCATTCTCGGTTTGCGTTGAGCAGCAAGATTTATCGCCAGAGCTGAAATTATTGCAACTACGTCAGTGTTTGACGGGCTCAGCATTGAAAGCGATAGAATCTTATGGATACTCAGCAGCAGCGTACACCGCAGCAATCAGGCGTCTAGAACAGAAGTTTGGTGGCGATAGAAGACAGACAGCAGTGCATACAGAGGCGCTGGCGCGGCTACCCGTGATACGAATGGAACGAGCTGCCCAGGATCTGGAAAAGTTCGCTGATCTTCTCCAAGTAGCTGTCATTCACCTAGAAGACGCCGGACACAGCCAGGAACTTCAGGCTGGTGCATTCTATCAGCAGCTCCTGAAGAAACTGCCACAGTCTCTCTTGACGCAGTACTACCGCCAGATGACAGAAAGAGGTGAAGCGGAGACGGTATGCACTCTGCTGGCCTGGGCATTAAGAGAAGCGGATTACAGAACAACAGCACAGGAGACGCTCACTGGCATCACCACACAGCCTGAGGGGACCGGTACACGCAACAAACAGACCTACAGAGAACAGCCAACAGCAGCAGCATTAGCAGCCTTTACGTCCCCGGCAAGTGCCAGTTGCGTGTTCTGTGGACAGAGTCATGAGAAGGCCAGGTGCTCTGTCGTTACAAACACAGAGAAGCGGAAGGACATAGTTAAGAGCAACGGAAGGTGCTTTTTGTGTCTGAAACCGAACCACATAATCCGTCACTGTCAGTCGAAGTTGAAATGCGCCAAGTGCCAACGTCGACACCACACTACCCTGTGTGACTCAACATCTGACAGGCCATCACCTGTAACACCACCCACGTCGCGCTATGAAAAGAAGCCGGCCGCTAACAACCAGTCTAGGGCAGCATCGGCTCCAAGCAAGAAGGGACCAACCAACCCATCCGCCAGCAGCGTTACACTGTCATCTGTCAGTGCTCTGACATCCTCTAGCAAAAACAACAGTATGGTTTTGCTGCAGACCGCTAAAGCTATCGTCGCACCAAGCATACCGATGCGAGACAACGGGATCCCTGTGAGGGTGTTGTTCGACGGAGGGAGCCAGCGCTCGTTCGTGACACGTGATGTGCAAAGGCGGCTGGACCTAAAGACAGGCAGGCAGGAATGCTTGAAAGTGAATGCCTTTGGTGAAGGCTCTGGTGGGGACAGCGGTTTGAGAGACGTGGTGAATCTGACCGTGCAGAGTACGGAGGGAGACCCCCCGCGGCTGGAGTGTGTCGTGATTGAGGCAATTTGTGCAGCAGTCCAGAACCAGCACCCTGCACAAGCAGTCCACTGCTGCGGTGCGCTCCAAGGCCTCACACTGGCAGACGACAGCGACGGCACAGCCACAATCGATCTATTGATTGGAGCCGATCAGTACTGGCAATTTATGATGGGCAAGACGATCACGACGGCCGCTGGTCCGACAGCCATCCATACGCGTCTTGGCTGGGTCTTGTCTGGTCCTGCATCAGGCACAACTAGTACGACAGGCACATGCCTCGCTACTGAGGTGCACAGCTTAACGGCGCAGGTCCTTGATCAGCAGCTGCAACAATTCTGGGAGCTGGAGTCTCTTGGGATACACCCAATCACGGAAAATCAAGTCCAAGCAGCATTTAATGAGACGGTGACGTTCGAAGAGGGACGCTACACCGTGCGACTCCCCTGGAAGGAAGTCCATGCAACGCTGCCCGACAACTTTCGAATCAGCAACAAGCGCCTAATGTCCCTGACCCTGAAGCTGGAGAAGACGCCGAGTGTCTTCAATGAGTATGCTAGGGTGATGAGGGAGCAGTTGGCAGCAGGCATCATCGAGGAAGTCAAGGACCCGGAATGTGGTGATGTGGGAAACGTGCACTATGTGCCACATCAAGCCGTTGTCCGAGAAGACAAGACCACGACAAAGGTCCGTGTCGTGTATGATGCGTCATCCCGCTCAGGCAAGGGCCCGTCAATCAACACCTGTCTCAACGCGGGACCCAATCTGTTGGAGAAGATACCCGATATCTTAATGCGTTTCCGTTGCCATGCCATTGCCCTGACAGGTGACATCGAGAAAGCGTTTCACATTCTCCGCGTCGGTGAGGATGACCGAGATGTGCTTCGGTTCCTATGGTGGGACGATCCGTTTTCAACAAACCGACAAATCAAGGTTTTTCGGTTTGCACGCGTTATGTTCGGCTTGACTTCAAGTCCATTCCTGCTGAATGCAACCCTGAAACATCATCTGGACAAGTATCAAGTTGATGACCCTGATTTCGTCAGCGTTGTGGGCGATTCGATGTACGTTGACGACTTGGCTGCCGGAGCGGACGACGAGGAAAGCGCAGTCACTCTCTACTCCAAGTTGAAGGAGCGCATGGGTGACGGTGGCTTCAACATCCGCAAGTTTGCATCAAGTTCTATCTCCGTCCAGCAGCACATCAACACAGCTGAAAAGTCAGCTTTGGTGACTTGCTCCATATCACCTCAGGAAGATGACCTGACGTATGCCAAGACATCACTAAACAGCAGCGAGAACGACAAAGTTCTAGGCGTCAAGTGGAATCGAGTGCACGATGAACTAGTCGTGGACATAGCAGCCATATTCGCCAAGCCGAGCACCCGAATGACGAAGCGCGCAGTGTCATCAGAGGCCGCCCGCATCTTCGATCCCCTCGGCTTAGTGTCACCCGTCACCATAAAGTTGAAGTTGTTTCTGCAGCAGCTGCACGTGGCCGGGTTTGATTGGGACACCCCACTATCGCCACAATTGGCTCAAGAGTGGACCGCTCTCGTCAACTCACTGCAGAACGCCTCCCCGTTACGAGTTCCTCGTCGCTACTGCAGCAGCACTATCAGCAGTGGTCGGGTATCTCTGCATAGGTTCTGTGACGCTTCCCAGACGGCTAACGGTGCCGTGGTCTACTTGAAAGTAGAAAGTGACGAGGTGGCGGTTCAGCTGGTCATGGCCAAGACGCGGGTGGCCCCAACTGCCAAGCAGACAATCCCGAGACTGGAACTGCTATCAGCTCTGATCCTAGCTCGCCTAATGGCCACAGTGAGGCAAGCTCTAGAGAAGATGATTCTCATCTCATCTGTTCACTGTTGGACAGACTCGCAAGTCGCACTCGGGTGGATCACCAATGAGGATCAAGAGTGGAAACAGTTTGTCCAGAATCGCGTGGATGAAATCCACCGACTGACTGGCACAGGAGCCTGGGGCTTTTGCCCAGGGACGCTCAATCCTGCGGACCTCCCGTCTCGGGGCACAACACCCGCAGAACTCCACAGGTCAATGTGGCTGACTGGTCCAGCCTGGTTGCACACCGCAAACCGACCACCCGGCCAATAGCCCCAGGAGGGAGAAGTGCCAGAAGAGTGCACAGCTGAGAAGAAGAAGAAAGTGGCACAAGTATGTGTAGCAAGCACTGCGCCGACCCAGGGCATCTCCACCGTGATAGATATCACCAGCTACAGCAGTCTGACCAAGCTACTACGAGTCACGGCCCAGGTACAGCGAGCAGTCAGGCGTATGCAAGGGCAGCAGCTTGAGAATTTCGTCTCTGCTGACGACATGGAGAAAGCGAAGGCGGTCTGGGCTCAGGACATTCAGAGAGAGGCAACCCAAGACCCGAAGTATGCGAACTGGGTTCGTGAGTTCGGTATTTACGAAGACAACAGCGGTGTTCTGCGATGTCGTGGAAGACTGCAGAATGCGAAACTCACGTTCGGTCAGATCCACCCAGTTCTACTGCCAGCCAACCACCCGTACACCAGTCTTGTTGTGGTACGTTGCCATGGAATTGTTGGCCACAATGGTGTCAAGGAGACGCTGACAGAAGTACGAAGTCAGCATTGGATTGTCCGAGGTCGCCAAGTTGTACGTCGACTTATCAACCAATGCACAACCTGCAAGCGACACGAGGGTCCATCATACTCTACGCCAGAAGCACAACCGCTACCTCAGTTCCGTACAACCGTGGACTTTCCGTTCACGTACACAGGCGTGGATTTTGCTGGTCCCCTGTACGTGAAGGATGGCAATGAGACCCGCAAGGCGTAGGTTGCGTTGTTCACGTGTGCAGTGTCTCGCGCTCTCCATCTGGAACTTGTGCCTGATCTGTCAACAGAGTCGTTCCTGCGTTGTTTCCAACGGTTCACTGCCCGGTTTGGACTACCAAGAGAGGTGAAGTCCGAACGGCAAGACGTTCAAGGCAGCCGCGAAGTCGCTGGAAGGACTGTTCACCGTGGAAGAAGTGGCTAGTCGCTTGGCAGACCACGGCGTACGTTGGACCTTCAATCTGGAGAAGGCCCCCTGGTGGGGCGGGTTCTTTGAGAGAACGCTGAGATGTGTCAAGCGTTGTCTCAAGAAGATCCTACACCTCTCCAAGGTGACGTACGAGGAACTGCTCACAACATTGCTGGAGATAGAGGCAATCTTGAACAGCCGGCCTCTCTCGTATGTGTCTTCAGAGGACATGGAAGAACCACTTACTCCATCCCACCTCATCTACGGCAGACGAGTGCTGTCCTGCCCCATGATTGACCCGGATGATGTCGACCTGGCCACCGTGCAACGGGATGATGTGTTGCGTCGCCTGGTCCACATCAAACAGCTGACCGATCACTTCTGGACAAGGTGGCAAGCAGAGTACTTGCTGGAGCTCCGCAATGCTCACCGAAAACCAAAGTCTGCAAGTCGCGGAGCCGAAGTTGGCGTGGGAGATATTGTGGTCATACACGAGGATGGTGTGGCCCGCGGGTTATGGAATTTGGCAAGAGTGGAGAAGTTGCTGCCAAGCAAGGATGGACAAGTCCGCGGAGCAGTCGTGAAACACACCACCAAAGGCGGTCGCGTGACATGTTTGCGCCGTCCACTGCAACGGTTGTATCCCGTTGAGTTAGGCGAGCACCGTGAGAGTAACACACCCGATGACGTCACATCCGCTGATTCAGTGGTACCAGCGCCCGTCACTCAGCCATCTGTACCGGAGCCGAGGGCATCTAGAGCGGCAGCCACTCGAGCGAACAGTCTGCGGCAGCAGTTGATCCTGCAAGGCAGAGTATGACAATCTGTTATTTATGTTCGCTGCTCTCTCTCTCTCTCTCTCTCTCTCTCACACACACACACACACACACACTCCTTTTTTTTGGATTACGCATTTGACCAGTAATACTTGCAATATCATAAGTATTCGTTGTTGAGCTACAATACATGCATTCGTTCAGCCTTATGTATCTCAACGGAGGGAGTGTTAGATATTGCATGCGTCTTCACTCTGTACATTGACACTTGATTTGACAGCTGCATGCATCTCTTGTATTTATGGCTACCGTGTGTTACCGTCGGACAACATTACGATTTATTGTTACATGTACGTTCTATGTCAAGTCAACCCTGTTCCCATTCGTTTTCTAGTTCTATACTTACTGCCATGACTTGTCCCGTTTATGGTTATACAGTCTTCTTCTTTTCCTGTCTTATTGCTTTCGTTTACCGGAGACTTCTACGGTATGTCTATATTCGCCTCCACGATGTCCTTATCCTGACACTAGCATTTTCTGCGTCGCGTACGGCTGGTGGGAATATCTACTCCAGCCGTCGTGATGTAGGCGCTTCCTCATCATTACTACTTGGAGGACAGTCACGAGTTTGAGTATCTCTGATACTAATGATAATGATTCTTACTGAAGTATGAGGAGAATTGTTTCCGAGTGGAAAGACACTGAGTGTCTATGTGTAATAACTAAATTAATGAGCTCAACGAAGAGCCAAAACGTCCTTTAGGATTCTACTACTACTAGTACGGGCAGAACCAGAGTAGGATCTCTAAAACGTGGTTTCGAACTGCATAGCTGTGCTAATTTCCTGTCCGGGAAGAAGAGCGGCGTTTCTACATCCAATGCTGAACTCAGTGCTGTCGACCTCTGCACACGGGACACGTGACCATTTGATGGCAGTGTTACCAAGGACCAAGGTGTGTGTGTATGTGTAGTACTTGTGTGTGTGTGTGTGTGTGTATGTATAGTACGAAAAATGGGCATGAACAGTGCAGAAACAACTCATGAACACGGGGTGCAAACTCACGAAAAAAACCTAGGAGCACTTAGGTTTTTTTCGTGAGTTTGCACCCCGTGTTTACGAGTTGTTTCTGCACTGTTCATGCCCATTTGTCACACTTTAATAACTATTATTGTGACTTACTCTTTATCTTAGCCCTCACTTTGTGTAATACTTACTCGTCATGCATCACACTTCTTTGGATTTTTAACCTTTGTTTTTCCCTTGATCACTTTAGTTCCATATTTCCATTGATTATCGGAGCTTGAAAAAAAAATCGATTCTGGAAACACCCAATCTAAAACCGTGAACAAATTGTCATGTTGATTGGTGATGTCTGCGGCATTCGTACTTTTCATAGCTATTATTAAACTTTTATCTCCACGTAGATTATTTGAATAATAATAATACTAAGTATTCGCATGCAACGACGCAAATCCACACAATTCAGTAGACACTTCCTTTATATCAAACGTTTTGTTCCATTCTCTTCAGGATAGTACAGGGAATGTTGTAAATTTGAAAAACACACATAGCTATACAGAGAAAGAAAGAAAGAAAAAAGTCAACACTTCAACGTAAGTGATAAAATGATTAAAGTGTTAAAAACTCAAAAAAACAGCTGCAAGTTGTAGACAAACACGTTGAACACATCAGGGAACACTTGTCACACTTTCACGAGGTGTGACACCAAAAAACTGTAACGATAACACATTCTCCTTCTGTACACATAGTTCTGGATCTAGTTTACGAACATACAAAGCTTCTAACACAGCAAGATGTATTGTAAAAGCCATTATTCTAACGAGGAGCATTATAACGATTTTCCAAAATTGACTAGTTTACGTGAACCAAAGGTAACGATTCTCACTCATTGTCTACGCTCAATAGGACAGTATATGTATCGATTTGTCCTGAAGCTCGGGACCGACCATCCCATAAATTACGCCCCAAGTGGTTTGGCCCCTTTCCTATAACCCAGGTGGTCGGCCCGAATGCCTACAACCTCAAGTTGCCTCATACCAACCGCTGTCACCCGGTATTTAATGTGTCGGCACTCCGTGCCTACGAGAAGAACGCTATTCCTAATAGGAGACAGCCTACGCCTCCGCCTATCATGGACTTTGATGGTCATACCCGCTACATGGTGGAGAACATTCTCAGTCAACGCCGCCGGCAGAATCAGCTTCAGTACCTAGTCAAGTGGCAAGGCTACTCTGATGCCACTTGGGAGCCTGAACATTATTTGTTGGATGAATCTGGTAATGACATTGTTCCACTTCAGAAGTACAAAACCTTGGCTTCTGCCCGCTGAGTTTCGCAGTTGAACTTCTAGTTTTCACCCTACACATTTTGTTGAGCTTATTACACTTTTATTTGCATGGAGTTTCAGTCGTCTTATTGTGTTACTTCAGTGCGAAGCCGTTTTCGTCTCGCACTTGTTTGCGCTTCGTGTCCTCTATTCCACTTGAGCATTTGGGTTATAAGCTCCTTCCTCTCCATAGGAGGGGGATGATGTAACAGTTTCCCCTGTTCGCTATAACTTTACACTCCCTCGCACCTCATGCATCTTACGCCTGTCCATTAGCACCTTCATTGGCGCCATTGCCACATGTATACTATCACCTTTTGCATATAACTGATTGAGGCACGCTCAACCAGGTCTCTTACTTTTGAAGTTCTATTAACCCTGTTACGATGCCAGGGTCAACCTTGGTCGTCCACGAGGTGCTTTGTTGCCCTTGTCAAAATAGCCGCTCATGGCTACTTGCGGTGACGTGTCCATGCTGACTTGACTGATTAGTTCAAGGGACTCAGCAAGTTGCCAATCGAAAGTTTAATGGCTAAACATCACTAGGTAACTTGAATCGGTGTGCGAACATAGTCGGTCTTGCTGCGCAGGTTTTCGTGAACAGCAGTGATCCCTCGCTATTGTACCTTGCTTCAGTGCGTATTTGGTCTCTGGACCAATCTATCATAGTTGGTGAAACAGTTCCACCTAGGGATAAAAGGAGCCAACTTTTTGCGAAATCGGAAATTTGGCCATGTTGAAATGGGAGTGTGGCACGCATGTGAAACTCACAGCCACTAGCTGCCCAGCACAAGAGATCATTCTGGCCCAATGAAGGCCATATTGCACAACTGTTGCAGTCCTTGCTGATGTGTTGTGGTGGAGCAGTTCTTCTTTCTCGTCAGCAGCAAGCGACGCTTCGTAGCGGCTTCATTCGACTTTCTGCGAGGGAAGGGATTACGCCCATGATATCTCAGTGCTGGCAGCATAGCGAAAAGGCAGGTGGAGATACTCTGACTCTGGGTGTACCTTTCTGCTACGAGGTTGGATTCGGCCACAGTGGTATGAAGAGACCAAGCCGAGACGTGCGTGCTGCATGATCCGATCTCACGTCACAGAGCCCAAACTGGAGCATTGTATTGACCCAGACTGTCGTAAGGCTAACAACCTGCACTCTGATTTTCTGGGATCTTACTACAACAGACAACGTACCTAGAATAATAAATTCCCCCGCGCTGCTACCAGGAGATCAGAGTTATGACCTGCCCAGCACCACAGCAAGCGGAGCTTGTGTCACCATGTTACGTTTCTGAACATGGTTTATCCAATTGCTAGGGTAATTATACCAATAAAAACTGCTTTATGGCAGTTTTCTAAAAAAGGTTATTGTGTTCTAGTCCATAGACCCCGTCTAAAAAGTAAGAAATTAACGAAATGTGATAGCTGAAAATTAAAATTTCACACAAAACCTCACAATAATCACACACAGAATGAAAAGCTACATGCAGAAGACCTTTTCCCCTCGTGATCCTCTTTCCTATGCATGCATGTTGCCAATTGTTGGTGCAGTACAAGTTTAGTGTTGAAAGCAGCATTTCAAGTGTTGTGATTATTGTGAGGTTTTGTGTGAAATTTTAATTTTCAGCTATCACATTTCGTTAATTTCTTACTTTTTAGACGGGGTCCATGGACTAGAACACAATAACCTTTTTTAGAAAACTGCCATAAAGCAGTTTTTATTGCTATAATTTCTTTTGTTTTTTCTGTCACCAATCAATGGAATTCCCTATATCAATATGTAAATGATGGCTTTCACATCATATCAATACCATATTATACGCATTGATGTGCAAGCCTTTTCTTGCAGAAAATGGCACTAGCATAATGCATTTTCTTCTGCGGGGAAACATGTGAGCAGTGGTGGTGATACTTTTTTTATACGGAGGTCATTCTGTGCATGTTGCTGTTGCAGAATTTCATGACTCTGTCATAAAATTGTCTTGCCTTTCGGATATTTCAGATTTCTCCACCCTCAATCAGATTTATTTGAGAAATGTAGCCATGCGCCAGGTGCGTGTCGCAGATGTTTTTGTTGATTCTGTGTTTATAATGGTTTATAGTCATGGGTTATCGTGATAAGGTCATCCAGCATCATATTGAAACTGAAATCGTAATCCTGTTGATGTCGATACAACTTTTGGAAGTAGTTCAATGACTTCAAACTGTTAGTCCACGATTGTCTAAAACAACACAGCAAAGGAGGAACAATAAACATGTATTAAAATGTAAACGAATACATTGCTGAGTCCAAAACCTCGTTCCAACAACTACACTGATCCTGAGGAGAAAAGGGGCAAGGCTATGGTTGGAGGTACTGAGAGATAAACAAGGCACTCCACAATGATAAAATCTTACATATCTTTTGGTGAGTATGAATGATATCCAGTCGAACCTCTTTAGGACGAACACCAAGGGACCGATGTTATTTATTCTGTGAGTTTGTCTTAATCTATTTTATAACCAGTGAATACAATTATTTCTCCAATAGACATACGAATAGATTTCTTCTACAGCGAAAGATTCTAAGCCACACCGACTCATTGACTCGTCACGTATGAAACAATTGAGTCACTAGAGAGATTCTGCAAAACGAAAATGCGTACAAACTTTCGCTCTACATCATGAAGTGCGAAACTTCGCACCTTTGGACGCGAAACTTGCAGGGAACGCGAAATGAACTGTCGTAGGAAATTTCGTGAGATCGGGTCATGGCGTACGTGCACTTGGCCCGCGCAAGCGAGATTTTCACGAGACGGGACTGCACCCATTGGCTTGTTTCGTATGAAACAAACAAGTTACTGAACCTCTCCACAATAGAGATTTCCCCTGATATGCGAATTTATTTTTCAAACTCGGTCAATTGGTACTTGAACCTTTCCCTCCAGATTGGGAACTGCCAACGATAGTATGCCACTGACCAGTGCCTTACTTGTAACGTACCAATGTACAATGAATATGAGTATTTCGACAACACATCTAACATAAGCCTTACCGTCAAGAAGTTGAACTCGCGTTCTGCGCAAACTGTAGACAAGGGCAAAGAGATAAAAATGGATCTAAATCCGAATAAAATCAGCACACGTTTCCGTAAATGAAAGGTGAACATAAGCAAATGAATCGAAGGAAACCGGTAAACTTAGAGATCACCTGTCATCGAGTATTCCGTAAAAGGAGGCCTCGCAGCTCGGCAGCAGAAAAGCAAAATTTAGAAAATAGATCCTGTCAACTTTTCCATTATTTATTGCATTCCGCCCCAAAATCAGCACACTTTTCCTGAATGAAAGAGTCAACACAAGCAAATGAATCAAAGGCAACTG